TGTCTACAGACACACCGTATTCTGACCATGCCCTAATTACCTAATAATTCCACCACCTTTACGCGCGAAGAAACCATGAATAAGGTCTAGCGAACCTACCGGTTCCAAGTGGAAAAAGCATCTACTTAAGTTTTTGGGATAGAAATACCACCTTTCTCCATGCACTGTAATAACTTGACGAACTATGTAAATGAGTAATCCATTTGGATAAGGGAATTGTAATTATAAATAACACTTGTTTTAGATCTATTTTACCTTATTATCACGTGTGAAACCAGACAAATGTGAAACCAGTCATATGGCAGCAAACTGAAGCATATCAACACAGTAAGTTTATGAACTGCTGTGCTATTATGCAGAATATAAATCGAATGGCCTTTAGCAGGGATGGACACTCTCGAATGTCTTAATTATAGGCTACCCCGACTTTCTCTGTTTCCATTTCTATCATGTTAAATATTAGCCACTATCAGTATTGACCATCAGTAGGCCTAATAACCATATATACATATTTAACTGCCAATTTACTGTTAGTTCCTTCAGTTGGTATAGCCTACATTATCATTCCATTTAATTCCAATGTTTCGTTTACCTTCATTTGCTTCCTCTGTAAACGGCATCACGGCCATGTGGTTGTTGCTGAGGATCATTAGTAACAGTTAATAATATAAAAAAAGGCATGTAGGCTACTTAAAAAAGTTATGGAGCGCAGACCAAGCCATAACAGTTTGAACCCGACGCATGGCGCAATACCCTGGCCGTGTCATCACACAGTTCCATGGTTAGTGCAGGCAATAGATGAGGGTATAGCCTACTATTGTACACTATTCTCCCTATTATATTTCAATGTACACTAATCTTCCAACATTACGATGGGTTGAAGAACTGAATGTGGCAATTTTTCAGAATGAATCAAACCACAGTTTTCTTTCTTCCGTGCATATATTTAGATGGCTTTCTTTCATTGATCTAACTAAAAGGTACACTGTATTTAAAGGGATGGCTTAAGATAAATGTACTGAAAACCCTATTGAATGAAAACTCCACAAGAAAATCTGTTGGCTAGCAAGTGGGAGGGTTTTCAGTGGTTTAATTACACTTATTTAGCACGCGCAAGGGAACCACGCATGCAAAGCCCGTTAAGCACCTTCATAAAGTGCGTAGGAAAGGCGTGCGTATGAAAGGCCTAATTTCCTAAGTCGGAATTGGGCCCTAAGTCTCAAGACAGAGGGACCAATTTTAGCCATTATGGACTCCAAAATGGCCTTGTCTGTGTGTGTACATGCATGCCTGCACGTGTGTGTGTGTATACACACTCCTCTCTGCTGCTGCCTGATAACCATGCAGTTTTGGGACGAGCCCAACATGCAACAAACCGGGTGTTGATGGCATTGTGGGGCGGCTGTGCGAAGGCTGATCAGAAGTGACAGCTGTGACATTGAATAGTTCTTATTCATCTGAAAGAAAAAGGGAAGATGTAACAGCTTGAGCCCTCCAAATAGATAGTTGATAGAGAGACTGGGGACAGACCTATCCTCAGCCTTTATCATTCCACCCTTTGATTGATAGAACACTGGGGTCAGGACTTCCGTCAAACATTAAAAGGTCGCTTGAGGCATTCAAAATGAGTCTCCGTGTAGCACATTGAATGCTTACTTTTACAGTGTAGTGCTATATGGTGTTTTAACAGATGTGTGTGTCAACTTGTGGCGTTAGTTGTGTTACCATGTAACAATACATTTAATAATTGTGCAGTCTGGATTGGCAGTCATATTTCTGTTCCAGTTCAGGTTATTTTGATAAAATTCACTTACAGTACCTTTCTCAATTATATTTACTGGGGGGGATAACTGTAGTGAGATCAAATGGCAAGCTATGTTTGTTAAAACTAATTAATTGTTTTTCACTGGATATTTTATAATGAAAACTTCAGAGCCTGCATTTGATACGCATGTGATCTTAATTGGATACAAAGCATATTCCTACACTTCACTGCACACAGCCTCAATCTAGACATGACTCGCATACTGTACGTTGTTTCATTCTGTGTGGGCTATAATGGGTAGTATTGTGTCACATACTCAAAAGGACTGAGGACTTCTTTGTTTTAACAGTTCATCATTTATGGACAATGTAAAACCTTATCTCCAGCTGACATGTTAATTACTCACCATAATGGTTACATCATTGCGATTCATGGACTCACTTGATCAAAACAATTGCTCAAAACAAATTGTTGCCGCTATATGTTATGACACGGGGGATCGGCAATGCTATAGCAAACAGTAAACCATGCAGGTAAAGCACATGAGAAACACACATTCTAAACTGGAGGAAATACATAACGTGGTTCAGTGAATTTCTGCTATGCTCTTTGCAGAATTATAATTGATTGTGACAGTAATTTAGGTAATCAGGCAACGTAATTAGGAAACCATTCTTAAATCAGAAGCCTTTCTGTTCAAAAGATATGCAGCTATGCACATCCAATATACACACCAGCTTCATTGTTTATTTGGAAATGTCCTAAAACAGTGAAAAGACACAAACCTACTGACATTGACTGCGTTTCAATCCATCTCTGGTCAATGCAGAGGCCTGACTTACAGTCTCTCTCATGTCTTACCATTTAAAGAGAGAAATCACAACATTTGATCAATGACTAATTTCTCTTCACTTCATGTAGTGGGGAGTGCAGTACACATTTCTACATAATTTATATCCTGTTGGAATCATGTTGTTTTTATTTAACCACTTGCGTTTTGTTTGTAGACACCCACATGAGCTAAATGGTATATTGTGGGATGACACTACAGTGTATAGTCAGCAGGAGACCGAATTGTTTGTGCAATGAATAACCTGTTTTAATTGTACATTTCTGCCTGTATATATCAGCCCTGCCTGTCTCAACTTCCTTTCAAAAAGGTGTAAGCCAATTTCAGACAACGTACTGTCATAATTTGTCTTGGACTATGCAGTTCTTCTTAGTGACAACCCCCCCAAAAAAATTGTCAGTGCTGTTTATGCTTTAACAGTGTTTGTTTTGCTGTGCATGGACATAAATTCCTTAAATATTTGATATTGTAAAGTTCTGCCTCAGAAATGATAGCACACTGTTACGCTGAAGTTGACATTGTTTATATTGAATGGTCTGTTTTTGTTATCATTCTGTTGCATACAACTGTAAAAATACAGTAAATTCAACAATCACAATGCATGTTTTCATTTTTTGTCATTTACTTAAGAAAAACGTATGTTATTGTACAGAGATCAAACAGCACATGACACACCAGTAATCTGAATGTACACCTCAATATTTGGGTAAAACCAGTCAACTATCAACACATACATGAACTTTTTGTTTCCCTTTTTTTACATATAAAAGTTTAGATTGACACAAACTTGGTAGTACTACCATCACCTCAGATCAGCAGCCATGTCGACCCTCTCCCTCCCCACCTCCCTAGATGTGTCCCGTCTTCTGGTTTTTGTCCAAAAGAAGACATACCGCCAATGCAACCCCCCCCCCCCCCCCCCCCCAAAAAAAAAAAAGAAGAGCGAATCAACTATGTTATTGGTGGTTCCTTTTCTTCTTCTGGTACCAAGAGTCTTGTTGTTCAGTGCTGAGTAAAGCTGAGGATAAACCGTGTTGCATCAAAACTTGAGCAGGAACAACAAGAAAACAGTCAGCAGGAGGCAGAATGAGCAGTGGGGCGACAGGGCTGCCCTGTTCACATCGTGCATCATAGTCCCGGGGCCTGTTGGGAAAAAGAGTTTGATATTAACGTCACTAAGGCATCTCAAGAGGCAGTGCTTCCCCCAACTATCTCCCCTTCCACAACTAAAACAGTGTGGGTTCTATTGGCTTTAACTGACAACTTTAGATGCCTTATCAAAAAAAAAAAGATTGTTGGCTTTAGAGCCTTTTCCTGAAAAGTAATTTAGGGGATGGACTGCAAAGAGGTCATCATCAGCAGTAACGCTAGGCATAAAACCAACAAGATGGATTCCTCCTGCACATTGAATAGGACAGGTTCCTTTGAAAACGGAGCACCAGCTCCATCAGACACTGGTCATCTTAACAAAGCATAGCAAGGATCTCAAATAGCTTTTTCCACGCAAACCCATCATTCATATCAGAGATGACATGGCATTCTATCCCCTTTGATGATCAAAAAGAAACAAGCAGTACAAAACAAACATTCCCCCAAATCCCTTGGCATGTGAACTGAGGAGCACGACTGAGGCTAGAATGTATTTTTCATGATTGGGCCTTTATAACGTTGAGAATAGAATCATGTAGGATGGATAAAATGGCTTCTTACTGTGTTTCTTACAGTTTGTTAGTCTTTGTAAACTGCTGGAACTGCAGTCAGAGGAAAAGTTGACCAAACATTGTGGATGAACTGTAATGCTACCCTAAGAAGTTTTCTATGACTCAACAAATTTGTATACTGAGCTATTGTATTCGCTCAATAGCTATTGTATCCAAAGAGGCTCAGCTCTTTCACATGATATGCCCCTAGAGATAATCAAAATAAGTTTCTGCTTTTTGTCCTATTCATAGCAACAATGTTAAAATGAATTAATTTATGGCTTTATTCTACATTACATAACTGCAAGTTTGGTTCACTGTGGAGTATTCTCCCACAGATTAATAAGACCACTGACAAACAAAATGTATCTATCTGCATTACACCCCACCACACAGACAGAGACATCTACATTTAGGCCAGGATTCAATCAGATCAGTGTTAACCCACGGTTACCGACAACTGCATAGCATATCATTGCTTTTGTTTAGGCGATGTTAGAGGTGTAAATGCAGCCGCAGCTGCTCTTGTGGTCATTGTCACGAAACCACATAATATATATATATATATATATATATATATATATATATATATATATATATATATATATATATATATTATTGCATCTAGAATTGCATCCCAGTGCACACAATAACACAATAACGTATATTAAAGCGATGTTGTACTTTAACAGTAGGCAGTCTTACCGTAGAGGATTATGCTTGCATTGGTGATCCCCATGGTGTTCATGGCCACACAAGTGTAGTTTCCGTAGTCCTCTTCAGAAACATTCAAAAACATAAGCATGGATTGTTTACCTTGGTTCTCTATCTTAACCCCATTCAGCCCATTGAAGAGTCTGTAAAGAAGAAAATACATTCTTAAATGTTGATATTGGAATCCCATATCTATATGTTTATCAAAAACAAATACCCATAGCCGTGAATTTGATGGGTATTTCTTATATCAATCAAATTTGGCCCTCAACTGGTGGGGGAGGTTTTGAATGGGTTGTGAGTGTCTGAGTAAAACAAATATATATATATATATATATATATATATATATATATATATATATATATATATATATATATATATATATATATTAATCATAATAAAACAAAGTTAATGAAAAATACTCCTGTCTGAACTAAACAACTAAAACCAGTTAGAAAGTGTGTAGATCTTTTTTTATAATTTAACCTCTGAACTATTTTTCTTCAATCACAGTATTTTCAGCGGATTTGGTTGATGCTATGGTCTTAACATTCATATGGGCAAAATTGAATTATCGACAATGAAAAATGTGGCACTGTTGTTCCCTTGTCATATAATTGGCACATTTTCTATCAATATACTATAAAAAAATTGTTTTCCAGATTGTATTTTGGCCCCAATAAATTGGGATGCGAATATTGGATCGTGACTGAGACAACCTGGTTCAATTTTGGTCCTGAGGCAAAACCAGTTGAGAACCACTGCATTTGGGTATACGGTTTGAAGGTGTAGTCTGTCAACAATGTCAGTATAATCCAGTCAAGTTTGACTGAACAAGGCCCATTGAGGTCATTGCTGTGTTGGCATTTGTGTATGTCCTTGAAGGGTTCAGCACAAGTATGAATGCTACAGTTGGTAAAGACTATTAGTCTCGGGAACTTATGGACAAAAATACTTTTGAAATAAGTCTCTAGAGCCCTAATACTGAACACAGCTCATTAGGTCGTGCTGAGACGACTGCTCTGCGTCGCTGTACAACAACCTGCGTTGTGTAACATTTTCTCTTTGGCTGCACCGCTAATATTCCCCACGCTTCACTGGCTTGTGCCAGTTCGTGTCGAAACAAGATTTATTTGTGAAGCGTAGTCATTCATTATAACCCCCTGTACTTTCTCAGAGGTTGTCCAAGCAACGTAGCCCATTGACAGAAACTAATTATGCAAAACAATACAACTCGCATTTGGTGGCCATGATGGTTTAGATTAGAAATTGTTCTCCAAAGAAAGTAATTTGAATAGTAAGTTCTTAATGAGACAAAATTATATTTTGCCAGTGGAGAATAAAAACAACTGGGGGATTTACATCTCCTTACAACCAACAAAGGCCAAAACTGAGACCCTTAAAACCTAAGACTCTTTTCTAAAACATCTATTAGGACTTACCTGCGGTCCTCTTTGTACCACTCAAAATCTGCACCAGGAACAGCAGAGGCCTCACATTGGAGCACCCCTTTTTGGCCCACTGGTGTACCTGTACCCCTGGCCTTCGAAATGAAGGGAGCGTCTGTAAGATGTATGAAATTGAGGTTATTTAATGAGTTTTATAGCAGTGAATATTCTTAACATTAAAAGTAGACTCAGCAATATGACACAGTGGGGCAACTTCCTGCTTACAGAAATCAATACAACAGAAATCTGATCTTCCAAGACTGCCACTATTGGGTCTTCCTAATGTGGAAATTCCTCACAGGAGGGAGCACATTGGAAAGAGCCTGTTTTGTCAGTCTTGACAGATTGAAATTATGCTTTTGATTTCTGCAGGCAAGAATTCTTCCCGCTGTGTATGATGTCATATATTGCTGTGTATAACTACCTGATAGCCATTACTTTGATGTCCTTTAAAGTGAACTGTTTCAAACAGGTGAAGTATCTATTATTCTGAATAATCTGTAAGGTGCGTCAGTATATTTTCTGTTGATACCAATGTACACTCGAGCTAACATGCTAAACTAACAAGAGGCTTCTAAAATGATCTTAACCCTAATAAGCTCTTAAAACAAGTTTGGATCAACAACAGCCTGGGAAAACCATGTAGCTGATAAAATAGCAACAGATAAGCTGACCATTTAGATTTGTTTGAGTGTTGTGGTGTTTGGCGTCATTGTTTGTTTTCTTGCTTACAATTGACTGTGACTTTCACTGTCTTCACATCTGGGGCTGAGATGTCATTGGAGGAGATGCATTCATACGATCCCGACTGTTCTTTACTGATCGCTGTCATATCAACATATTCCCCTTCAGTGACAAATTTGTGGCCTGAAAAAGAACACAAAAACATCTGTTTTTAAAAGTAGAAAGCATACAGCGGTGCATAAAGTATTACCAAAACCCCCACATGATTGAAGTGCAGTTTCCTGGACTTTTCTTTTCATCTTAAATATCTCCCAAAAAGCCACATAACTCAAACGTTCATTTCATAAAAATACACAGATGGAAAGAAGTGGAGGGCGCTCAACCAACGTGAGTCGAGTTGCAACCCAACATTTTTATCAGAATTGAAAAGGAAAAGGCCCAACACTCACTCACCATTAAAGATTATTTGTTTTATTTGACGTTTCGGCCTTCAATGGCCTTCTGATGAAGGCCATTGAAGGCCGAAATGTTTATCTTTTAACCTAGCCTAAATAAAACAAAAAGTTTGTAATGGTGAGCGAGTGTTGCACCTTTTCTTTTTTAATATAAATACACAGAACCATAATAAATTCATACCAGCAGCCCTTGAATTTGACACATATATGCAAACATACTTCTGTTTTCTAGCAGTCTTCTGAGCATGAAACAGTACTTGCAAGCAGGTTAAACAGGTGTGAGATCCAAGATGCATAGAAATCAACCTTTCAAATGGTCTGCAGCATTGATGAAGGTAGCGTGTAGGCTATACATCAGACACTACAACATGACATTTGGAAACCTGTTCGTTGAATATTTGAAAGCAGGAGCCACTCAAGGTGGAAATTCTAAAGAGTTACAGTAGCTGTGTCTTGTACACAACAGCAGCAGGTACCACATTACAGAAACACTGGCCCTCAATATGTTATCAAATGTCAACACACATCACATAAAATAACATTTCCCCAGACATCAGCAGTACTGTGGCATAATATCTACCCACTGCTCCCGCGACAGACATCATAAAGTCTCTAAGGTCTCGCTATTCAAAGAAGTGTGCCGGTATCAGTTATTTCTCCTGTGTGTGTGTGTGTGAGCAGGAGGAAATGGGGCTGAGACTGAAATGGAGCGGCACCTTTACTTGGAGATAACCAATTCCCAATCAGCTGAAATGTCACATACAGCAATAACTCGACATTAGCATGATCTCATTACTTTCCCCAAGCCCTGGTCCCACCAACAGCTACTGCTGCTGCTGCTGCAGCTGACGAGACTGACTGGAAAGGTTGTCCTGGCTGGGTTGTTGCTTTTAACTTTAATGTGCTGGGCCATGGGAAATGGAAGGACAGATAATTTCTATCTACATTATGCAGATTGAGGCGAGGAAGTGGAAATTGAGTTATTGGCCATTACTGTGTTATTTTATGGTTGCAGGCGGTGATCGGGTGAGTGATGGCAAGGTTAACCTATGATAATTCAGGCTTTAGCGTAACAGCGACTCCATGTGCAAAAGATGGCAGAATCGGTTATGCCTGTATTTTCAGTCGAGTCGATAAAATATTTATGTCAGGTTTTTAACTAAAGGGAAAAAGTTTGGGTAATGTCTTAAGATACGTGATACAGTCACTCTTTTGTATCTGCAAACCCAAGCAAACATGGCAACATGGTGCAGTGCCTTCAGAAAGTATTCACACCCCTTAACTTTTCCAAATGTTGTTGTGTTACAGCCTGAATTGAAAATGGATTAAATTGAGATTTTGTGCCATTGATCTACACACAATACCCCACAATGTCAAAGTGGTATTCTGTTGTACAAATGAATAACACATTTAAAGCTGAAATGTCTTAAGTCAATAAGTATTCAACCCCTTTGCTATGGCAAGCCTAAATATGTTCAGGAGTAAGAATGTGCTTAACAAGTCACATAATAAGTTGCATGGACACACTCTGTGTGCAATAATAGTGGTTAATATGATTTTTGAATGATTACCGCATCTCTGTACCCCACACATACAATTATCTGTAAGGTCCCTCAGTCGTGTAGTGAATTTCAAGCACAGAATCAACCACGAAGACCAGGGAGGTTTTCCAATGCCTCGCAAAGAAGGGCACCTATTGGTAGATGGGTTAAAAAAAATACAATATCCCTTTGAGCATGGTGAAGTTATTACACATTGGATGGTGTATCAATACAACCAGTCACTACAAAGATACAGGCGTCCTTCCTAACTCAGTTGCCGGAGAGGAAGAAAACCTCTCAGTTAAAACAGTTACAGAGTTTAATGGCTGTGATAGGAGACAACTGAGGATGGATCAAAAACATTGTAGTTACTCAACAATACTAACCTAAATGACAGAATGAAAAGAAGAAAGTCTGTACAGAATAAAAATATTCCAAAACATGCATCCTGTTTTCAATAAGGCACTAAAGTAATGCTGCAATAAATGTGGCAAAAAAAAATAACTTTTTGTCCTGAATACAAAGCATTATGTTTGGGGCAAATCCAACACAACAGATCACTGATTACAACTCTTCATATTTCCAAACATGGATATGTTATGGATATACTTGTCATCAGCAAGGACTAGGGAGGTTTTTTTTGTTGATAAAAAGGAACGGAATAGAGCTAAGCACAGGCAAAATCCTGGTTCAGTCTGCTTTCAAACAGACACTGGGAGACAAATTCACCTTTCAGCAGGACAATAAACTAAATCTCAAGGCCAAATATACACTGGAGTTGCTTACCAAGATGACATTGAATGTTACTGAGTGGCCATGTTATAGTTTTGACTTAAATCGGCTTGAAAATCTATGGCATGACTTGAAAATGGCTGTCTAGCAATGATCAACAACCAACTTGACAGCGCTTTAAGAGACTTGCCCAAAAGGACTCACTGCTGTAATTGCTGCCAAAGGTGATTCTAACATGTATCGACTCAGGGTTGAATACGTATCTAATCAAGATATATTAGTTTTTTGTTTTTAATTTCATCTTTTAAAAAGTTTCACTTTGACATTACAGAGAATTCTGTGTAGATCTTTGAGGAAAAAAAAGACAATAACCCTTTAGAACCCATAGCCAGTGATGCCAACTTAGCGACTTTGTCGCTATATTTAGCGAGTATTCAGACCCCTCTAGCGACACATTATCAAAAAAGCGACTAGCAACAAATCTAGTGACTTTTTCTGGTGTTATTGGAGACATTTGGAGACTCTGATGTGAAAGCACGTATCGTTCTTACTCTTCTCAACGAGCAGCGGGTGCTGCCGTGGGCCCCACCCCCGTCCCAAAGCACTCACAGGTGGCCCAGTCCTCGAGCAGCAGTCCCTCACAGCTGCAGTCAGAGCAGGAGATGTTCACCCCTCTGCGTCCAGACTGCAAATGAATCGCGCATGCGGGAAGCCGCCGCTGGCTGATCCCACCCTGACTTACATTCAGGGTGGGATGTAAATGTAAAATGTTCTTTGTCTAAAATAAATCACTGCACAAAAATAAATCACTGCATTTGACTCACACAGCCTCAGTCACTTACTCACCTCGTCCACTGTGTGTGTGCCTCTCTGTGACATAAGCTAAACATCTAGCTGGCTAGCTCATCATGTCTCAGTCTAAACTGTACACTCAAAAATACAGAAAGGAGTGGGAATCAAACCCTGAATTCAAAGGCTGGTTGAAGCCGTTTATTGGAGATGATACACGGGCATACTGCCTGTATTGTAAGGCTGATTTCTAGGCAAAGCCTTATAACAGTTCCACCCAAAACAAGCTGCCAATTATGGGTCAAAAAAATTGACTCTGCAAAAAAGGCTGAGGCCACCATGGCATTAGCTATCGCTGAACACTGTTCCATGCTGGCATGTGATCACATTGGAGAAGCATGTAGAGCTGCTTTCTCAGACTCCACTGCTGCTACCCACTTCAAAATGCACAGGACAAAGTGCCCAGAAATGATTAATGGTGTTCTAGTACCATACTTTCTGAAAACGTTGGTTGCAGATGTGGGTGACCAGCGTTTCAACCTCCTCCTCGATGAGTCCACGGATGTAAGTGTTTCTAAGTACCTGGGGTTGTGATAAGGTACTTTAGTGACACCATGCAGACAATTGTATCAACATTTCTCGGGCTTGTTGAGTTGGAGGGAGGAGATGCCAAATCTATAGCCCGTGCTGTTGTGGCTTTCCTCGAGAAGTATTGTCTTAAAAAAGAGAAACTCCTGGGGATATGGACTGACAATGCCTCTGTTATGATGGGGATTAACAATGGGGTCCATAAAGTGCTGAAGGAGGAGTATGGCCTCAAAGATCTGGATCTGCCACTCTCTGCAGCTTGCTGTAAGTCATGCTTCCAATGACACCATCCCCCGTAGTGTGGAGTACTTGGTACGAGAGACTTAAAACTGGTTTTCAGTGTCTCCAAAGCGCAGGGAGGCCTACAAGGCCATATGAGACCATCAACTGTGGGGAGAAACCTTTACAGATAACCAAGGTGTGTTCCACACGTTGGCTCTCCATTGAACCCGCTGTTTCACACATTTTGGACCAGTGGGAGGAGCTTAGGCTGCATTTCGCAGATACCAAGTCCAGTGAACACTGCTACATGGCTGAGGTGTTATACAATATGTTTTGAGGATCACTGTACATGGAGTATCTGACTTTTTTGAAGTCAGTGCTGGGTGAGGTACAGTTGGCCATCAAGGCTTTTGAGGGAGAGCAAGTAGATCCTCTTAAGCTACTTGACAGCTTGGCTAGCCTGATCAAGTCTGTGAGCAGCAGGGTACTGAATCCACTGGCAAATGTTGATGTACTCAAAGGGCCAATAGATGGATACATCAGTCCCAAACTGTACCTTGGTTACCTTTTTGAGTCAAAGGCAGCTGAGCTCCACCTTGCGCCTGAGGAAGAAAACAATGTCCGAAAGCGGTGTGTAGCCTTCACCATCTCCCTCACTAATGAGTTGAGGGTGAGACTGCTGGACAACATCGAAGCATTGCAGTACATGTCAATGTACTGTTCAATGTGGAGGAAACTCTAAAGCATAATAAGAGCCCTGGAGAAATAGAAAAAATAGCCAAGCTCCTTGGCTACTCCCCTGCAGAGATAGACAAGATTGTCCAGCAATGGCGTGCCATTCATCTTAGTAAATGGAATGAGACAAAAAACACACTGGG